AAGGAAGTTGGTTGAAGCTGTAAAGTTCCTCCATCGTGTTTGAAGTAGTCTGTTTACTCAGTACTTGGAAATAGTACAGTCACTGCCGCAGAGAGGAGCTTTACGGTATTCTACAGCACAACTTCAAAAGACTGTCAAGAAAACCTCTGAATGTGTGTACTGAAGAGTGTGTTATTCCTCACCTTGCCCGTAAATGTGGATTTAAACCTGTTGCTCTAGAAACAGGACTACCTTTTCTTAGGTAGAAGTCTATACAGGACTTAACTTTTAGGATAAATGATCCCTCTTCAAAACATAGACAGCATTTCTGACATGCCAGCAGCTCAAATATGACCTTAAGGATGACTGTAATACTATTTTAAATCACTCTTGTGTTTTGAGGGCTCAGAGCTGTACAGCCCTTTCCAATCCTTTCATATTGGAGGATCTGATATAATCTGCCTCTACATCAAATATCAAAGATGTGATGCTTTATCTAAATTGTTAGGGTATGTGAATTTGTGCGGTTTTTTTCAGGCCTTTTCAGTCACCTTTGCTGTTAACAGATTGCTGTGGTCCATTTACAATTCAGTAAAGCAATTTATAGTCCTGTTATAAAGACTCTTCATAGTGCTGTTTCTTTTTCCACTGGTGAACACACCAACTTCTTCAGACACGTGAGGACACTTCCACTTGGATTTCTTCAGTTATCTCTGTGACAGAAGCTTTCAATCTGATAAGAGATGAGTTAGAGCATCACCAGGCTTGAGATTCATGGCTGGATGAGATTCTATTCTGCATATAAGCATGGTAAACCTGAGCAGTTGATCCAGCAGTGTGTGTGTGTCTCTCAGTTTAAAACACACATTCAAATGATGATGGACAATTTCTGTTGTACTGGGAAAGACTGATCATCCTTTCTGGGAATGATGCATAGCATACCAAAGTTTTTACATTAGTGTAATCTTTCAAATATAAAGGATACAAGAAGGTGGATTTTTAAATTTATTTTTATTCTTACAGTGAAAGATTCCTAAAGCAGCAAGTAAATAGGAACAGATGCTTTTACTTTGCAGTGAAAGTTCATTGAGGACCCCTGCTACTTGCTATCAGTAAATCTTAAAGCTGCTGTAGTTCTGTTCTGCAGTCCCTCGTGGTGATGAGCTCGCTGTAACACTCGTTCAAAAGAGTCAGTTTGCCCTTCTGAGGTCTAAGCATTGTTCTTGGCTGCTTTGAAGGAACCACCTGCATACGCTTACTGCAGCTCTCCTGCATATATTTGCCTGCTGTCACCTCCTCACCTAAAAGTAAGATAAATTAAGGTACTTTTACTTAGATCATGCTGCAATAAAAATAGTGTGAAAGTTTTTTTTATTCATAAGATATACTTTTTTTTAAGAATACACAGTTTTCTAATACTCCCTGATTTCCTTACACTTTTAATATTCTTTTCTTGCGTAAGCATATCCATAGGTATCTCTGCAGCAATGTTTGTTCAGCTTCATTAATGCTCTCAGAAGTTTTGAATTTCCACCATTTCTTATGTTTTGTCTCAGCTGTACAGAGATACTGCTGTATTTCTTTCCTGAAGATGACTTTGTTTACAGTGGCTAGTTATCCAAATAATTCTGTAGAGGTCAAGGGACAGTGTAAAATAGACTCTGCTTTTCATATACTGTTTCTGTATGGCTTTCCTCCTCTAAAACAACCGAATGTACTGGGTGCAAAGCAGTTTTGCTTAGGAGTTGTTTTTTGAAGTGTGCTGTCTCACATGTATGCCAGTTAAGAACAGATGTCGAAGTAGGAACATGGAAACACTCAGCTGAAATTGAGAATGTGATTTTAGGTGTTTAAAAATTTAAAAAACCCACATTTGTGTATTGTGTTTGTAGCAGTGTTGGATGCAAATTCTGCTCTAACTTTGGAGTGTTTTCCTTCTCAAACAGGTTTTTTTTCCCACTTGTTTCTCCTAATCTACAATGATATGGATGAAAGCTCTGGAGAAACTAAGTCGTTTCAGCATTTGCCTTCATTTGTGTTCCTATCACTTGAGAATATCTTGAGCCGTTATTCTAATGCAATCAGAGAAATTAATGCTGCATGAAATGTAAGAAAGTGCCTTTGGAAGAACAGTACGTTTTCAAACCAAAACTGGCATAAAATGCATACAGGAATATCCGAGTTTTCCTCTATTAAGTCACCATCTTGAAGTACTTGAATTCTACAAGGGATTATATTTCTTTATAAATAAATGAAGTATGGGTGTAGGTATACAGTGTGTGCATTTACTTTCAGGTTTTTGGCAGCCTATACAGTAGGGAAGAGTTCTACACAGCCAATGTTTGTTTGATTCCTCACCTTGTTGCGTGCTTCTCAGGTGTTTAGGGCTCTGAGTCAGCTGCAGTCTGCGTCAGAAGAGCAAAGTTGGGGTAAGGCTTCAGGAAGAAGAAATATGCTTTGCTTTTTAGTATTCCATTTAAATGAGTACATCGATGTCTCTCATCCTCCATGTGGAGACCCCCATTTTGCTATTGGGAACTACTGCTTTACAAATAGGATAAAGAAAAGAGCTGGATAATACTTGAGGTTAAAAATGCACAAGTAGATCCCTGGATTTGAGATGAGAGGGATATATAGGAGTTTTAGTAACCCATCTCTTTTTATTTGCACATGCTCTAGGTTTTTTTGTGATTTATGCAGCTGTATAAAACCCCGTTTCTGCCCCATCTTAATCTTGAAATTTGGTTATTTGACTCTGTTACCTTTTCATGATGTAACTCACTGTCAGTGAGGCTATTGGATGTTTGTGTTGATTATCTGGTGACATATCACTTGAGTTGTTTGCCAGTCTTTATACCATTCTTATCTACTTAACTAGCAAGCCAGAGTTGAGCTATTTAAACTTAGTTGTACAGTAGATAAATGGTAAATGAACTAGTTCAAATACACGAGGATTTTCAGTGCGGGCATAGATTCAACAAAGCAGAACATGACTTCTAGGATATCGAGTCCATCTCCGTGATGTTAGCTGGGCTGTACTGTGCTGCAGCAATTGATGTTCAGATCTTCAGGCCAATTTTTTTGTTTCCATGTTAGAATTTCAAGCTCTGTCAGGTCAGTCACCAGCTACAGTGACTGGAGCTCTGGCAGCACTCTGTAACTGGAGCCAAGAGAGTGTCAGGTTCAGATTTGAGAAGGGAAAAGAATTTTTAGTCAGAATACTTTTTAAACTCTTTGGGGTTGGTTTGTTTATATTAACACCTGTTTAACTTTGGGGACTAACTCCTGGATAAAGGAAGTCTGTGTGAAGCATTCAGTATCCCCAGACTTCCAGCAATAAGTGGATGCTGTGACCAGGGGGGACCTGGGTGTGCAGTGGTATAGGCATTGGCTATCGCATAACTAGGAACCTAGCCTCATGCTGTCTGTGGGGCTGTAGCATACACGTATGTATGTGCACATCTATAAACGTGAACAGAAAATCCATGTCTGTATTCAGCTGCAGTGCTGGAGCTCTGTGTAAATCCTGAAACTTCTCAGGTCATCATCAGCACAGTTAGCGAAGAAAGCATTTTGCCAATTGCTGTTATTCCTTAGACAGTAAAAAGCCTTCCTTGTTATGTAGTAAAGATAAACACAACTCTGATTTGTTTTTAATGCTGTACAATAAATCTTAGATTTTATTAGCAATAGAGAAAACTAGGAAGATAGTGATTTGTGTCAAGTGGCTTCTTACATGAAACCAAAGCTTGTGCAGAACATTACTTAACAGCAAGGATTTATGCTACCTAGGATTTGTAATTAAGTTTAACCTGAAGACCTGCTTGAGGCTGTTGGAAAAGCACAAACATTGAGTGCTTACTTGAGAAGAATTTAAGAAGGTGATATATTTTTTAAAGTACTGAATGAATGAAATATTTCCAGTTGAGGTGATAGTCAAATAGTGCACTTAATGTTTAAACAGAATTTGGCTAGGCATCTAACTTTTAGTAAGTTAAAAACCAGTTTCTTTCACCTCTGTTTAGGAGGGAGGGATGTAATGTTATATTCTTCTTTTGCTTTTCAGGAAAGGAGTTTTTTCTAGTATGAGAACCTTCATTGTGCAGAAACTGTAGTGTGTTTTAAATCTAAAAAATCCTGTTAGAGATGCTCTATATAAGTGTTAGAGGGCTAGTCGAATGCTAAAACACAACCTGTGCCAGGTTTTCCTTGACATTTTTTAAGACCTGTATAGGCATCAATATAAATGTTAAATCAATAGTTCCAAATTAACATTGCTTTTGAAAGTGTAATTGGCAATTTCTCTGTAGATTAAACTTTTCAAGTGAGACTTTATGAATCACACAACTTTGTTTAAACTTTTGTAACTGTGCTCATACTGTAATAAGGGTTATCACTTTCTGAAAGATGACATTTCAGCTCTTTTCCTATAGATTGCTTAGCATTTTTTTAAAAAAACTAGCTTTTAAATCTCTGTAGAGTACTCAGTACAGTGTTTGAAATATAACTTTCTTAGCAAAGCTAATATAGTTGCCATCAAAATGTCATTTCAGAGAAAATTTTAATGTATCAACCTACTTTAAATACAAAAAATTACTTCATAATACAGTATTGTTAGTAAAATTAGAATTAGTTAATTCTCATTCTGTGGGTTTCTGTCACGTGGGCCTCAATCTGGTAGAGCTCTCGTCGTATTGAAGTTGCACTGCCTATTAATATAAAGCTAAATCTATGCAGTAATAAGGAAATAAATATGACTTTAATTGTCCCAAATAACTTTAGTGCTGGCTGGACGACTAGGGCAAACAGGAATTATGGCACCGTTTTGCAGGACATGCTGCTCCAAATAGCAACAAGGAAAATTTCACTTACGTGCAAGGCAAGGTTTTTGTCACATGCAGGTTGTGAAGCACAGTACCAGGTTGCTCAGAGAGATTGCAGATGCTGCATCCTTGAAGAACAGGAGTAGACGAGGCCCTCAGCAATCCGATCGCCAAGTCAGGTTTGTTTCGAGTAGTCTGTTGGACCAGACGACCTCCCGAGATCTCTTCCAGTCAGAATTACTACAAAATTCATGAGTAGGCTCACTGAACAAATAGGAGAGGTTCTCTATTTGGATAGGTCTGGATCAGGCTTTTTTAGAAATACTCCAGGACCTGCCATTCTGGACTATTACATGTGCTTAGAATAATGCAGTCTGTGCCTTAGGTAGATGTGAGCACAGCTGATAGCAGCATCAGTTACTCACTTTCTATTCGAGCCATTCTCTTGTCTGTGCTCCTTGGGTGGCTCACTCTTACCTTTGCAACAGTCCAGGATGCTGGATGCCCTTCCTTGAGAAATCATCCTGCTGAGAAATCATCGTACTTGAAACCTGCCTTCCTAATTGTCGTTCAGCATGCTAAAAGATCTTACTATAAGATACTCCCTTATAAACAGTCATCCTCAAAGACAGTCAGCTGGTAGGTCTTACCCAAAATACCTTCTTAAAGTTGTCTCTGAATTCTCTTACATCTGATTCTGTCTCTGCATCCCCAAACCACATTACTTGTTTTTTTGAAGACACTTTGCATATTGCCTTGCAGAGCGTGCAGCTGTGTTTTTGTTTGGATGAAATAAATCATTGAGCTTTTCACTTGCTGAAAATACTGAGTGACAGTTGTTTCTTCCAGGAAACTGCAAGCTTTGTTTTGGGATTTTGCAAAGACTTCTACCATAACAGCGGGCTCCATCTGGATAGGTTTCTCCAACTGGCTATTCCAGTTTTGCCTGGGATAGTTAATTATCTGTCTGGCAGTGTTCCTGCATAAAAGCATGTACAGCTTACTCATGTCGAGTTCAGTCTGCACATTCTCTTGATTTTCTGTGGTGCAGCTCAGATGTAAACTGTGCTGAACAGAACTTCTGATTATTTTGATAACCCCTTCTTGCTCACCTGCTTTGTGGCACCAGAATAGCTGTTTGCTGATAGATTACATTGTGCAGACAGTCACTTAGAGTAAGAACACTTACTCAGCTGTGGTAACTGTGGCTCTTTAGTACATTGTCCTCGCAGATGCAGAGGAAGTATCAGTATAAGTAGTATAGTAAGTAGCTGTATAAGTAGCTGTACTTTTCCTTTATGGGCAGCCTACCTGCTGCTGTCACCTTTAAAGCAGTTGAATCCTTAAGGATCAATGATCTGAGAACATAAGTACTAAAATCTTCAAGACACTTCTAGAAAATAATGAGTCACCTGTTGAGTATTGTACTGCCCTTCTTGCCGAGCTTAGGAGCTTGGAGCTGCATGGAAACATTACTTTTATGTCTCTTAGCTTCTTCCACTCTACAGGTCTCTCTTACATTAATGTTAGTGTGAACCAGGTTAGGATCTTCCTTTAGGAAAAGTTCAGGATAAGCTGAGACCGAATTACCTTGTACCCCTTAGAGATCATGTTAATATGAAGATGTTGAGCTAATATTTGGAAAAGAGGCATCTAAGTTGACTTGGCTAGAAGGTGAAGGCATATATTTTGTATTGAATTTTGCAGGGAGAGAACTTCAGTCCATGCTGAGGTTTTCATGGCTATTTGCTGGAATTAACTCTGTGTGAATTTTTATTGCCTCCATAATAATGTGTTTACTCAGTGGATATCCAGATTTACCTCTGTACAGATTATCTTTGTTCTTCAGGCCACCACTGTTCCCTGCTGATTTTCTCTGAAAAATTACAGAGAAACTGGGAACTTGTTCCCATTTTCAGTCTTTGTGTCTCCATGGGAACCCTTAAGTAAAGTGCATTGATTCAGATATTTTTTTTTTCCAATTTGTCTGAAAAACATTGTAAGTCAATTATTCCTTTTATATAGGGGTATTCAGGAGGCAGAGCAAACAAGCTGTCAAGTTAGTGTGCCAGAAGGTGGGCTTTTAGCACTGACTGACATTGAATTAGGCTGAAACTGAGGAGCTGGGATTGTCTAGAGCCAAAAGCACATGTTGGCTTGAAGTGGAGGGCAAGAATGGTAGCTGGCATGGGGAGAAGGTGAAGAGCTAGCGAGACAGCAGCTTGAACCCTGTTTGTAGTGCAGTTGGTAACTGAAGTTACCGAGTTCAGTTAACAGTACATGTATACTGGTGTATATTTACTGATTTTTAAGTAACACTACCTAATGTCTGTATTTAAATACTAATTCAGGCTCATAGGATTTACTATAATTGGAAAAGTTAATAAGCTATTTGTGGGCCTGCCATGAGTCATCACATCAGATGCTTGGATTTTGTTTGTCCTCTATTTTTTGTGTTTAAAATAAAATACAGTAATATTGGATTACTTTGTGCAGCACAGAAGGAAAGACAGAGTGTTATGACCTCATATAGTAAGTGTGAGACAGCTTTAAAAAGTTGTTTAAGATTTCTCAGATCAGCAAAACCTTCTAATGTGTTGGAGATTCAACAGTGAGTTTGAACTGTTGTGAAGTTGTGCCTTTTTGTCATGACCATATATGAATTTATAAATAATTATTGGAATTCACTTTCTTTTTAAATGCTTCTTGTGTTAATCAGTCAAGTCTGCATTTAGGATATTCTTTAAATTTTGAAAATGCCTTTCCTGTTTATTAGCACTCCTCTAGAGCCAGTCCATTCAAATCTCTGCTCGGTTTATGTGGAATTCCTGAAGCAAATCACAAAGTATTTTCATTGTAGCATTTTAGTGAAGTATTTTTCACTTGTTTAGTCTTAACTTCTTCTGAGGAGAAACGGGCACAATTGAAGTGGTTGAGTTGTAGATGATGAGATAAACTATCGATCATTCTTACCTTTTCAAGGTAGCAGTGATGGTTCTGAACTCAGTGAAGAGACGTCCTGGCCAGCATTTGAAAGGTAAGAAAAAGTGCCACTCGAAAACTGCATTTCTTTATTCAGACGTTGCTGCTTACATTCTCTCATTCAGTCCTGAAAATGATGCTTTATTTTGGTGATCTATATGTAAGAATAGAAACAAACAGTAAGAAGTTCACTGGGTCTGTTAAAGCAGCAGAGGAGTAGCTCCTGCTCACTAGTAGTTAATAGGGCCTTTTTTCTAATGGGATGCTTGGTCATTGCACACATTCTTCTAAATAGCTCAACCAGAGTGCCATTAAACCCCAAATGATTTTTCTGTTTCATACATTTGTGTATTCTGTGTATGTTATTCGTACGACCTGTTTTTCATTTTCACTTTCCCCAAGACATTTCAAACATTGTTGGTCCCTTTGTTCTTGTCACTGACAATTGTCACTGGTTTTGTCTCTCCCACCTGCTCCTCCCTTCACTGTTACCTGCCCATGTTACATGGGAAGAAAGCACAGTAGTGCCCCTTGCTAATGTCTGAAGTTGTGGTTCAGAATTAGTGTCTTGCTCCTTACTCAAATACCTGCAAATGCTCAGGTGATGTTGACACTTCAGTCCTTTCCCATGTTGTATTTGAGAATGAGGAAAAAAACCTAACAGCTGTAGTTTAAAAGCTGGAAATTTCATCTTTCCACAGCTAAGTTAGATGTGCATTCAACGCATAGTTTGCTTCCATAACTTAGTTTCAGGTAATTCACCTTCAGAATTGCCGTGGTTGACTTTTTACCACGCTGTGAAGACGTGTTTGGTAGAAATTTTTGTCAAAGAACTTCATAGTTGGGAACTGTTACCACAAACCTTATATTCGTCTTCAATTCATTGAAGCAGCTGAAGTTCTGTGAAATCTTTGAAAATATCTTGGTGCCAAAGGTGAACTCTTTAATATGACTACGTAGATGAGGAAGTGCTCTCATGATTCTATTAGATAAGAAATAAGAAATTTGCATATGAGCATAGAAAGAAAATCGGGTCGGAAAGAACATCCGTAATTTGGATGTGCTCTGGGATGAAATCTTCAATGATCAAAAGGTTTTCTTCTTCCTTTTCCCTCCCTGTTGCGTTATGGAATTACTCAAGTTCAGGTTATTTCTCAAAGCCAAAAAGTTACATGGGAAAGCCGTAGACAAAGTGAACTGAGTGCTTTTAACTTAAGTAGCTTAACAAACTTATAAATTTAGTAAGGTTCGGACTTAAGCTCGTGTTTTTAGAGAATGGTAGCACTCACCAGAATTGTATAGACTTGTGAGACAAAGCAGGGGTTTTTCATCCCTGTTGTAATGAGATCTGGCTGGCCCAGACTCCCCCCAGTTGAAAGGGTTGCTCTGTGCCAAACAAATCTGTCAGAAGATTCCTTTTTCTCCGAAATCTGCTTGCCTCCAGTGCTTTCCTCTATCCTGCTAGAGCTCTTTGGGAACCCTGAAGTTGCATGTTTTTGAGGTCCAGTTCTCTTGCCTGCTGGCAGGCAGAGGGATTGGGTTCCTTACAGACATTCAGAACATCATGTGTGAAACTTCTAGATATGCGGCAACCTTGTGTTTTTTCTTTCATGTAGAAGATGAAGCAGCATGGTTTTGGAACTTAGGAGGTAATACACTGAAATGCAAACGTTAAAATTTAAGCTGACTAGAGAGGACGTCTCTCTGGTTTTGGTCTCTACCAAAAGGTTGGTTTCCATTATTATAAAAAGAGTTTTTAAGTGAGGGTGAAGTGTTAGTTATCTGGAATTATCAGCTGCTGGCAAAACTGGGATACTTCCAGTGCTATTAATGACTGCTTCCTATGCAGGTGGGAATTCAATATTCCCTAGTGATTTAGGAAGGATATCTTTGGGTAGGAGGGCTTAAATCTACATAATATGCCTAACAAGAAATAATGAGATGCTCCACACATGGATTCCTTAGGTAGCAGAAGGAATTGAATCAAATACTCTTGGTTTTCCTGGCCCTCCTGTTGTTGTAACTGAGAAATGTGGAAGAGGTGAGAACTGGAGTCACTGATTGGTTTTAAGTGCATTTTAAGTTTGAAACTTGAGTGAGAGCTTTTGGCATTGGAGTGTCCCTATGGGCTAATCAAAACTACTTGCAGGACTTTAATTCCAAGTCCTGGCAGTTAAGGGCAGTAGATGAAGTGATGCTTCATTCTCATTGGTTGTCATCCTGAGTGTCTCTGGGTGGATTTTGCTGAAATAGCTGAAATGCAAGAGTGACAGCCTCCTTGTTACACAAAAAAACCCCAAGCTTAAAGGTAAGAAGAAAACATACTCCATTTATTTGCAAAATATATGTACACACAAGTATACAGATTACCTTGTGGTTTTCCTTCCTTCATCTTTATTATTATTTTACTTGTCTGTATCTTGAATGTATTTTAAAACAAAAATGTTTAATGAATTGAAAGATATTCGTTATGTTGAAAAGCAAATGATGGCATATCCTGGGATAGATTAGTAGATGACAATTTGTTACTGTCTGTCTCTGATAATTCTTTCTGCAGCAAAGGCAATAGTTTGACCTGGTTTAAAAACAAATAACAAAGCATCATTTAATGCTGCTGACCTTTATTGTGTCCCTTCTTTTACTACTTTTTGGTTTGCCTGCTGTATGCTACTCTGAGTTCAGATTGAAACAGAACAGCGCTACAGATTTAGGTGTCCCATTCTGAGCAATACAGCCCTGTCCAGCTAATGCACAACCGCACACACAGGTGACACATTGCCATGTTTATACTGCATAGGAGACTTTGCCTGTAAAATTCTCATAGTCTTGTACTCAACTGCCTGCTTCTGTAGCATTAGATCTGATTCTCAGTTTTTCAGCACAATACGAGCAGCTAGAAAAATGGATAAAAAACCCCAGGAGGTAAGGACAGAGGGCATATGCTTCTGTCGACTTAAAAGGGAATTCAGTCATCTCAGAGATCTGATCCAGAAAAACAAGGTTCAGTGAAGCAAAGCAGTATTCAAAAGGCAGGTCTAGAACACCAGGTCCTGGCTATGAATAACAGTATAGATCAGGTTAAGGACTCTGAAAGGGGAAGCTTATATGGAAAGTTTAAAGCTTGTAAGAACTGGAGAACTGAAACGTTTCTGAGCTTACTTCAACGTTCCTTAGGACAACAGTATTTTAAGCAGTGTCAGTTGTATTTTGATAGTGGTTTTGATTTCAGCCCAACAGTTTGTATGTGTGCATACTCATGGAATTTGAATATTTTTGGTAGGAACATCTATAGTCAGAACTTAAAGACGTAAAAGTTTTATTAATATGGTTCCTTTACGTTGATTTAATGTCTAAGAACTAAATGCAGACTTTGCTCGCGTAATGTATTACTATTCAGTGCCAAAAAAACACTTCAGTATTATTATTTCTGACAAAGAGAACATCTGATGAAATAAAACCCCATGGTATCTACCCCTGCATGCATTTTTCTAGATAAAATTATCCTCTGTGTCTTACGTGGAAGAACTGGCTCTGTGATACGCACACACAAAAAAAATACTGTGCTGTTTGTGTGAATAAAAGTATATGTAATACGTACAATTTATAATGGAATCCAACAGGAACAGGTTGTACCATTCTCTCGGTCCGGGGACAAGAGTGTCACGAAATGGCTATCGAGGCCACATGAAGGCCAGCAGGTACAATCCCCACTGCGCACAGAGGTGTCAAACTTTCCCTCTGCTGTTGGTGATTTGGTTTGGTTTAATAATTTAAGTGGGTGTTTTCTGATGTTACTTTTCTAACTTACGTGTCAAAATAAAGGTAGACACCTTTTTCTTCAGACTTAAAGCTTTCCTCTTCTATGACTTAACCTATATTGCCATAAGGGCTTTTGTTCGTTCTGGTCTGACAATCCAAATTCTGAACCATTGGATCTTTCTATCAAGGCTTAAAGATGTTTTACTAGAAGTCGCTTTTCAGCTGCCCACCGCTGTGTAGCAGTGTTAGTAGTTCTTATGTGAACAACAAAGCTGCATCTTGTGCTAATGGATGGCATTCAAGATCTTTTCTTTGCTGACAGTTCTGTATTGAATTTCTTTTCCCTTATTCCTTGAAATAAGAAATACGGCTAAAATGAGCAACGCATTAAAATTGGCTTCAATCTGTTATGTATAGTTTTATTTGCAAGCTGACATAGTAATACCACTGATTATTCTGATTAATTTTAATACAGAATCTGTCTCCAGCTGTGTGGCACTGTAGCTGGGAAAGAGATGGCCATTAGCTATGAAACTTTTTTCACGTCAAGAAGCAAGCATTGTCTCACTGAATTAAGCTCATTCACATCAATCAGTGTCCAAAATTGTCTCCCCATCGTCATCCTCAGTAGGTGCTGCAATGAGAACGTTTGCTCGATTTCCAATCTATGTGGAACGTTCATGAATGTTAGGATGGAGGAAACAGCACATCCTGACTTCTACAAGATTCAGGCGCTGTTCAATTCCTTGGCTTTTCTAGAAAGCTCCTGGTTACATGCTCTGATTGACATTTGCCAAAATTTTTCCTGTTGTAATTTATTTTCTGATTGAGAATGTTTTGTAAGCTAGCCAGCTTTTTAACTTTAATAAAGCTAAGTTTTCTTTGTTTTGGCCCATTGCTCTTAGATCCTGCATAGGGTAGATGATTAGTAGAGCACCAGATGCATTAAAACACCTTAAAGCTGTGGTTCAGGTTTCTACTCTTTATTACTGCTCCTGCCCACCCTTCTTGCTTTCAGACGTTTTAAAGATTGTGCATGTTTGACTTGTGCTTTGTTTTTGTCGTGCTAACGATTCCAGTGTTTCTAACAAAAAAATACTCAATCTTCCTTACAAGGGCTGAAGGAGATATTTTAACACGTACAGGAAAAAGTATGAACGTACTTCAAGTGTTTGCTTTTTAAAATTAATTGTTCTTGCATTTCAGTTGTCTGAGTTTCCTTTTTTTTTTTAATTAAGGGTTACCTGCTTGGCTAATTAATTTTTCTGATCACTTTTGCTTATGAGTGTAAATTACACAACAGCAATTCCTTGTAACAGCCAAAGTCTTTTTTCCACAATGAAATCCATTTCTAAATTAAAATACAGATGTTTGTGTTAGTTTGTGGTAATGATTGGAAAATTACTTCAGGAGAAATACTTTATTTCACACAACTCTTCTCGTGCTCCTTTCAGCTCTCTAGAATCTGAAGATCTGGCTGTTCATTTGTATCCAGGAGCAGTTACTATTCAAGGTGTTCTCAGGAGGAAGACTTTGTTGAAAGAAGGCAAAAAACCTACAGTAAGACTTTTAATTCATTCTCTCACCTTCTTTGTTTACCCATTTATAAATAGACTGAAGTGGACTTTTGCCACTAATTCAAATGTCTGAGATCTCCTCTGCCTTGCTCATTCATGTTTAGGGTCACTGCTGACATTCTGTTTGACAGATTGATTCAGTTTTTAAGGCTATCCTTATGAACACATATCCATGACAATGGGGAAATACCTTATGGCAGTGCATAAAATGGAAAAGGGACAGATGTAACTCGGTGAAGTGTTCAATAAGGGTTGCAGGAAGTATAGAGTAAGGTGCAGAAAATCTTTCTTGCAGTGGTGAAGAGTGGCACGTGTTCTTTCTGCTGTCTAGATTTTTAATGCATTCACAGGCCTACACAAATAACTAGAAACAGCAGCTGTGGAAACACGGCTGAGGGTTTGGGCTGGGCAGTTACTGCCGTCATATTGTCGCAGGATGATGCCTGCTATTGTGTGGCTCAATATTATGAAACATTTCACTTCTCCATTGCCTTTTCTTTTTGTCTTTCCTCTCTAGGTAGCATCTTGGACAAAATACTGGGTAGCATTGTGCGGAACCCAACTCTTTTACTACGCTGCAAAATCTCTGAAGGCTACAGAGAGAAAACATGTATGTAAAACAGGCATATTCCAGTATCATCTGCCACAATTAAAATGTGATTTCCTGATGTAAACACTGAGAATAGTTCAGAACTTGCATGATTTTCAGGCAGTGCTATCCTGTCTTCTCTTCGGTCACCTCATATGGATATGCCCCGATGGAGATACCATGCACGTTAATGTGCTACACCAAGAACATCTGCTTTGCATATGCCATGGGTCTCAAATTTGTTGTTGTGTAAGGAAGGGAATTATGTCCTTAGGTCTGTCTGCTTTGCTAAGGTCAAAGTCGTCTCTTTTGATGATCTCTGAGTCTTGCAGCAGTTTGTTGCAACTTGAAATTCAAACTAGCATGGGTGTGGGAAGACTGTGAAGTCACTACACATGGCATTAAACACATGCTGATTGCATCTGTGTGGTAAAATGAGACTGCGCTCATTTTCTGTTTAATCCTGTAGTCCATTAACTACAGCAGAGTAAGAAACACTGCCTATGTTACACACAGAGCTAGCGTGTCATATGATGCTGGCTTTCCTTTTATTTGCTGCAACTTCATTTGAAAGAAGCTAAAAATACTTCTCTTATGGGGGGAAGTAGTGAAAGGATTTTCTGTAGATGTTCCAGGGTTGTTGTGATGTGCGTAGTTCCTGTGTTCATTGATTGATTATAATGGAAGAGGATGCTGCCAGAGATTCTGTTAAGAAACTGGGTAAAACTTTGAGATACTTGGGTCTTTTTCCAAGTTCCTTCACTACTCAGAACCATTACTTACAGTTGCCCTGGCTGGTGTTTTGGTGTAATTTTTCCTAACTGTCACTAAAGAACATTTGGTTTACATGACCCTTGTGTAATTTTACCAACTGAGATGTGCTTCTAGAATCCCTGTAAGGGGACAGCCTTATTCCTTTTTGATGTAGAGTAGCATTCTTATCCTAACATGTTCAGAGGGTAGAGATTTGTAGCTTTAGATCTCTGATTGGTGACTCAGAATCACAGAATCACAGAACGTTAGG